TTATATTTATACCTTTCATACTTTAGAAGAGGAAGGAGCACCACATGCTAGCCCTACAGTGAGGAGTGAATTGCTGTAGTTCCACAAGGTGGCACTGAGAAGATGTAGAACGGTGTAACTGAATTAATGCTTTTTTAGTTCTGTGAGTGTTCATTCCGAATTTTTTCAGTATGTTCACCATGGTGTTTTCAACTTCTGCACTAGAAAATGTCTGCATTTTCATGCAGATAGGTTTTCTTTGTGAGGAAACAAAGCAAACTGGACAAAACCAATTTTTTTAATTTTAGAAACACTTTGCAGTTCTCAAAACACTCTTCAGGGGTTCATGACATTCACTTTAAAGACTTCTTCAGTGAACATGCACCTTTCATTGTATGCGTATGTTATGAAGACTTCAGGTATAATCCTCAGTTGTTAGCTGCTTTTGTAGAGTAATTACATATAACTACACCACATATCAGTGTTCTTGGATCTATTTTCGCAATATGTTAAGACTATTAAATGGTTTTGGGCCCAAATTATCAATATAGAATCATATCCAAAGCAAGTGTGATTCTCTAGTAATCTCCTAATATGTAACAAACTTAATTTTTCTTTTTATTTTAAGATAGAAGAAGGATTAACATTAGATTGTAATGTGAGCTAATTTTTAGTGTCATTATTTCTTTTCTTTATTAGACTATAATTACCTAGACTATAATTAGACTATGAATTTATAAGTTAGCATTACAGCTTGAAATTTGAGGTTGAATTGTAGTGAATGAAATATATTAATGATAGAGAAGACTGAAAATATACATGGAAAGTCTAGAAGAAGTAATTCACTCTGGATAAATGTCTAGAAAAGTAGTTCCAAGGGCTTGCTCTGTTAGTCTTTAGGCACATGCCTCAATTAAAGCATTTTTCCATTGATGTCAAGGGCATTACTTGCGTAGTTAAATGCCTTGCTGAATCAGAGCATAGAGGGTCAATTATGGAAACACTTGAGTAGGTGCTTTAGCAAATGCATTCATACTTTCTTCTTGTCTATAAATTCAAAGATGTCCAGCCTGCAATTATCTTTTAATCTAAATATTTGAGAGCTAAATTCTTACTGTTTCCTGTGTGGGTTTTTCTCCCCAGTTTCCCCAAGACTACACATACCTTCGGAGAATATCCACAGCAAGAGGTAGATCCTAATGTAATCATAAATAGCAAAAATACAACTGGATACATTTCTGTTGGTGTAGCATGCCATTCTTGGTATTTCCTAATTTGACATAAAATTGTGAATTCTGCATTTTGAGTTCTAGACCTTTAAAACTTCACAACCCTAGCACCTGACTAGGTTTCATACCCTGCTGCTTATGTCATCCAGTTGCTGTTAAGGGCAAAATGTGTAGGCAGTCTGAGAGACACATATGAACGCCTAAATCTCCAACTTCTGAACTTTCTTGAGCCTGATATTCAAAGCAGTGGAAGTTATGAATTTGCTGAAATAGAGAAACATAAACTCAGATCTCTTCTGTATGAGCATTGAGCATTTAAAAGATTAGAGGCACCACTGTCACAGTCATTTGGAAAAGGGTGAGCCTTGCTTTGTCTGTCATGAGAAAACCAGCTTTACTCATATGAATGAATCGGACGGCTGTATCTGTACTAATGAATGATCCAAGACCAGGGTGCAGGCTGGAGAAATGTCCATAATTATCCATACTGTATAATTGTTACCAGACCCAACAGTATGGTTCTTGGCTGGTGGAAATCAACTTTTTTGAGCAATGTCTAGTTCAGTTCAGGGGGCAGCATGAGCCAGATTTCATAATGAGATCACCCGATATGGCGGGGGTACAGGGAGGGAGGATGGCAATATAATTTAGCTGGAGAGGTATGAACCATGCTGTGCCACTTGCACTCATGGCCTGAGAAAGAAAATTAGTTGTGTCCCTTTTTTTTACTGCAGAAAGAGAGCCTAAGGGATCCTAAAACTTTCCTCTAGCATATCACTGTGAATCTTACTACTGCTGTTAAATACAGAACTTTTATCTCCCTTCTCCCTATGCTTCCTAGGAGAAAAAAGCTGCTTTAATTTTATAGATACAACCCAAATGGTTCAAGACAGCATCTCTGGAAGTCCTGAACTGAGCAGTTCAGTGTGACAGATTATGGACCAGAATTTAGGTGAAACTCTGAATTTGGTGCTTCCTAAGTGGTTTCCTAAATTGGTATATAGGGGTTTTAGATCGTCCTCTGAAGTTCTGTTCTCGGGTCGAATGGGTCATAAATAAATGCCTTCTGGTCTCAGTTAGTTCACAGCAGAATCCAAAATCATCTTCAATTTTTGCCCACAGATGTAAAGACAGTAAGGAAAAAAATGCATTCAGTTCTAACTGTGGCAGCTTGAAAACCACATAACATTTGCCTGACCTGCGGCAGAAAAGTAGCAAAATGATTAAGTGGCCTAAAGGTTATACTTACAAGGGATTTAGGAGACAGTGTGCTTAATGGAATATAGAAAAACAGTTTTATTATTTTATTCAGAAAAATAGGCTTGGTATATTGTCCTCTTATTTCAGAAGTGTACCTATTAAATGTAAACTGCAAAAAATTTTTCATCATATATGATAATCTGTAAATACATTAGTGGGAAAAATAATTTCCTGGATCATACCGGAATTACTGAATGATTTATTCCTCTTTATCACAACTCTTCTTGGTCTATAGTAAAAGAGATTATCTGTGAATCTTTACCTGCAGTTATAAAAGCCAGATTAAAATATTCTGAAATCATGCTGTAATCATGAATATTGAAGTTGCATGATTTGATTAGATCAGTGTTTGACTCTGTTTAATGGTAGAGAAAGATGCACTCTTGTTATTTTTACATTATAGGCATAAAATTATGGGATTCTTCTTGCCTACGTGTAGTTAGGTAAATTAATCATATAACTCTCTTAATATCTGATCAAGAGACATATGTATCTCCAAAAGTCAATTAATTTCCTCCCAAACAGAGAAATTAACAGATGCACATAAATGGTTATTGAGAGCTCTCTCATTGCAGCAGCACAGAATTCAAGACAAATAATTTATCTGTCAAAAAATATGCATTTTCATCCACTCTGAACTGCTTGCAGAGTGTTTGCAGTTTCTCAAACTCTCGTAGGCCTACACATATTGCCTACACATACAGGCAGTAGTCTAAACAGTACGTGTGATTTTGTGCTTAGTTATCACTTTGAATTAACTTCACTCATTTGTTAATGAATTAAAATTAGCTAATTTTCTGTAATACTCATAACATGATACACCCAAAGGAAGAGTCTAATTTAATCTTTCTCTTGTTCCAATAGCAAAATGAAGAAATAACATAGGTAAAAAGCAACTGAGATCTGTAGGGATTTTTTTTCATCTTTTCATGGGTAGCTCTTCATTTCTGTCTTCATCACAACTCTCTTGAGTGCCATTGTCCCCTAATATCTGTAACAGTCAGAATCCTTCTATTCACCTTGGGTTTTATGAGCTTTTTCTGCTAGAGAGGAAATACAAAATAAAAGGGAAATTAGTTATATAATTAAGCAATTGTATTTTCTTCAATACAGTACTTCTTCCTCTACTTCCTGTAGCTTTCTTTTTTTTTCTACCACTTCCTCAGATTAGGAGTTGGATTTTTGCTTGTTTTCCTTTGATGTCCTTCATAGGATCCTAGGATGAGTCAGGTTGCAAGGGACCTCCATAGATCTCTAGCCAATACCAGGAATAAGATCAAGCCAGGTTGCTCAGGGCTTTATCTAGTCTGGTCTTTAAAAGCTCAAAGGAGGCAGACTTTACAACCACTCTGAGTAGCCTGTGCCACTCACCATCTGACTGTCCTTACATGAATTCTACACTTGTTTTGTTTGTTAATAAGTATATTGCTCTACAGTATACTGTAAATCAATAATACAAAGAATAAAAGATTTTGTGTTTTCTCCCTAAGATTAGTTTGAGAATGAGAAAAATACAGAGAATTAGCTACTCTACCAGCACATGATATATTCCTGGCAGAACTGACACAGCGCTGGACTTGGACTCTTGGTGGTAAAAATTAGGACTTTTATATTTCAGAACAGTTTCAAGACGCTATCTGGCTGTGCTGGCAGAGCAAGCTGGTGTCCGTCTCTAGTTCCTCTCCATTCTAAGCGTACAAGTTTTCTAGAAGTGCTTTGCTTTGAATAGCCCTAGTGGAAATTAGAAAGTGTGACAGCTCCTATTTGTTTTTCTGAGAGTTCCATCGGCTTTTATTGATTTGAAAGTTATGTTTGTTTATGAAGAGAATAAATGGATCTCCCTTGTATGGAGGCAAGGATGCCCATTCTCTGGGAAACAGTTTGGGGGACAGAAGTGTCCATCCACTCATGTGGATGATGATGAGCAAGAGTCATAGCAAAAGGACCCAGAACCTGTAGTTTATGCGGAACCTAAGAGACGCAGAGAAGCACAGAGAAGAAATAACAAGGCCTTGGTGGTGATGGAAGACATATTCTTGGGATCAAAGAGCACTTGGCATTTTACTTCAACTCAGACATCCATTTAGTTGGTTGAAATCAAAATTAAAAGGAAGGACAGGCAAAGGGAGAGGTGTTCATGTCCATTGTGTCTGATCTAGTTTCTCCAGGTGTTCTCAGTCATAAATTCCCTGTTAAAAGTAATCAAAACTGTCTTTTTTTAGTTTAAAAGCCTTTTGTCTTCTTTGGAGAGATGACTATAAGGAAGAGGTATAGACAGACCCATCTTCAGTCCTTTGGCTGACTCTGGGTCCTGTCACAGAAAATGTTAGCACAGAGCATGTTTTTTTGCTAAAATTGGCTTGTTTAATTTGACTTGCTGACTCATTTTTCCAGATGGTCTGTTATTCTACTCAATTCCAGATGAGGCAATAGGAAAAAGAAAACTCTTTTGAATGCTCCACCCTCTTGCCATACCAAGTAACAATTAAAAACTCCAATTTTCATTGCAGTTCTTTATCTCTGATAATTATCCAAGGAACAGTAAATCAGATATATTGTCCTCTGCTTGTTGTCAATAATTTATATTCTAAATTCTTTATAGATTTGTTGCAGATTTAACATGCTGCTTCTTTTCCCTAAATTACATACCATTTCGCAACTTGAATCCAATGCAGTGTTTCATTTTTACACTTGAGATCAAATGCTAGACAGTCCAGTCTAATTGACTCATGTGTTTTATACACACACAAGAGAACCCACATGATTCTGTCTTAACTTAATTAGTTACTTTTAATCCAAAAGAGACATCAGGTCACTCAGCTATCTAACTAGTGGCCTTCAGTCAGATTTTTCTTATTACACCATTATTTTTGAGAAGAATGTACTCTGAATCAAGTGTTTACTGGACACTAAACTGTTAGCAGTGATGAGTCCAAAAAAAGGACAGGAGTAAAGTAATTGGGGACCTTGTGAGCTGAGATATTCAGCTTGGAAAAAATAGATGGTAATTAAATAGAAACAGAAAGATCCATTAGAAGAGTTATAGTGGGCATTTTGTAAAAGAGGTCAAGAAGAAAGCTGGGGGGGGGGGGGGGGCAACTGTATCTTGAAAAAGAGTAAAAAGAAAACGCGGGGGGGGGGGGTGTGGCAACTGTATCTTGAATTTACAATGTGATACAGTATTAAAAAAATAAATGAGATGTAGATATATCAGGTCAAGTTATGTTTGCACTATCAATACTGATATTTTCAAGATCACAGAAGGCATGTTTCATCTGTCTGTCCATATGAACTATGAGAAAAAAATTTTACCATCACACATGTGCAGTCATTCTCATACCTGCCTGTGTAACTAGAAGTGTATTTAGCTTGACTCATTACTGAGAAATGACCCTGTATGGGCTAGGCTTATTAGTTTTATTGAAAAACTTCAAATTTTGTCTGTATATAAAAAAACCCCAAGTACCTGAATCAGCATTCAGTGCAGCAGAGTAGCTGCTTTAATTCTGCTTTTAACTGCAGAAACAAAGGGCTTGTGTGGGTAAAGCAAATCAAAACATATTGTTAATTAAAATTATATCTAGCACAAAGCTTTGTTCGCCCTCCTTGCATATAGAGGTCAACACTAATAGAGTTTCACCATTTGCTAGCTGCTGATTGATGATTTGGAGCTATTCCCTTGGTTAATACATAAGCTTTGACTATGTCACACGATTTTTTTGCTTATTTGACAAATGAAGGTTTAGGTAATAATGGCACATGCTAAATGGTGTGATGAAAATTTGTGTAAATAATCATGTAAAAACTTAGCAATGATCAGTAGTTTACAAGGAGTCTCTGCAATTTTGTAGTGTGAATATTATTTAAAGAAAACATTACCTTATTACTCAGTCATAGACTGCATGCAAATTAATTGTATTATGTTTTAAACATAGGCATCAGTTCTACAGAAAGAAATTCATATTCTGATTTCCTGTTGTGATCTGTGATTTGTAAAGCAAAATGGTAAAGTTAAAGGTCAATAAAGAAAGAGATGCCTGAAAAGGAAAGGCAGTCTGGTCCTTGGACATTCTTTCAGAAGGACATGATAATAGTGAACAGCTTATTCAAACTGTTGAGAAAATATTTTTCTCACCATTTACAGAAATGCTCAGCTTTGGAGGAAAATATTCAACCAGAAGTTGTAACGTAATATTTGTGGTTTTTCTATGTGTCTTATAGGATTTTTAATATTTATACAGCAATACCGGCTTTTGTTATTAATTTTTCTCATTCAAATCAGACAATTTGCATGGAAAATAATTTCAGCTGAAAACCTAGTTTCAGTCCAAAACTTGGATAGAATTTGGTGTATTCTTCTGAAGCCGTGACTCCCCTCAGTTGCTGAGATAGATTGGAGTTGCATTGATTAAACAGAATAGAATTATGCTTATAAAACACATAGCTTTAATGAATATCAAGCTATCAATATAAAGTGAAATACCAGAAGCTTAACCCATCCGTGGAACTTGGTTGAACTGTTTTAGTAGCTTTACATGAAAAAGACTAAAAGTCTGAGCAAAATGAGAATTTGTTTTTGGTAGTATCTGAAAATTTCATATTTTTTTTCCTGAAATTATTTTATATCCTAAAAAATCTTGATTTGCATTACTTTGAATTCTACTGCTATGCATATGTTCATTTTAATTCATTGGTAAGTATCTAATATTAATAGGAGATTATGTTGACTAATTTAACAAAATCTGAAGAGTTATAATTACTACTCTAGGAAAAAAAAGATAAATAGATTGTGGATGGTAACCAATGTAAAAGCTTTAAAGTATGAAAGATGTATGAAAGAACATTCTTCTTGAGTTCTACTTCATGGACCAAATAATAGGAATACATAAAATACCATAACAACAGTATATCTATTATGGTGATAAAAAATGGAAAATTCATGGCTTTATTTTTCTGTTCAAATGTATGAAAAATCCAAGTATCATTAACTTGAGAGTCACAGCTAATTAATAACATAAGTTATACGCATTGGTTTTTAATTTGCATAGGTACGTGTGTTCACATTTTCTGTTGGTCAACATAATTATGACAAAGGACCCATACAGTGGATGGCCTGTGAAAATAAAGGTATTGTTTTTCTTTACGACTATTCTTTGCTAGAGTTTTGGATAGGTAATATCTTTATTATTCTCTAAAAATTACAGATTTTTTTTCAGCCTGATTTTTAGCTTTATTGTATTTTTTTAATAAAAGTTCCAAAAACTTATTTGATGAAATAATGTGTATATGAATATATATAAAAAAGAATAAGCTTGCATATTTATTTCTGATTACTTTATTTAAAACTATGTATTGTAAGAAAAATATCACAATATTTTTTATAGTAAGAAGATATTATGTTTTAGTTTTGACAATTCTTGTTGTAATAGCCATCTATGAAAAGATGGAACTGATGACAGATAAGAAATTAAGCAAAGCTGTGTTGTATTAAGGGGTCTGGACAAAAGAATTTTTTGTTTGTTTGTTTGGATTTCTTGCTGGTTTTCTCCAAAACTTACAAGGGACCAGATGATTTGCATTCTTTTCCTCTTTTTTTGATGAAAATATCAAAATTACTCTTGCTGTGATTTGTTAGCTTCTAAGAGCATCTTACATTTTCTATTTTTATCCGGATTTCTTTATGTAGGAAAAAAAAAAGTAAAAAAGTGAAAGTAAGGAACTAAAATGCTTTCTCCTAAAATTTCTACATGAAAAATGTGGTCAGAAACATTTAAAAAGTGTATGAGAGACAGGTGTCTCAAATACCTTACAATATAATTACAGAACAAGAGATAAGAGATAAATACAGATAAATAGAAAATAGAGAAATTATCAGACAATATTGTTCAATATTTTAAAGGGAGCAATTTCCAGGCCTGACTGAAATTGTGAAAGTATTGTACAAATCAGTGAGAAGCAAGACGTGAGAGGTGGGATAAATTACAAAGGGTCTGGAAAATTAAGACTGCCAGGAAAGGAGATCAAGATATGATTCTCAGAATAACATAAACCAAAGATAAGAGAAAGATACAGATACAGAAAAAAACTACATAGAAACGTCCATAGCCTGCACGAATAGCATATGTATCATAACCTCATAAATCCTTCAGTATGCTAGCAAGTTATGCAGAAGATACTGCAACTTCAAGAAGAAGAGATTGTATTGTCAGATAATTACTGAAAATCAATGTTTGGGTTTTTTTTAACAGGGATTTTTTTGACTAACATCTTTGTATCTCAAAATAACTGTGTGCATGTGAACTCCATTGTTTTAAAACAAATGAGAACCAGCTGGCTTAAAGCATAACCACCTATGTGATCTTATTATCAAGGCAAAATGATCATAATCTGTGTCCAAAATTGATGTGATTATTTGTTTGCACATCCAAAGAAACGAATTTTTGTTTAATTTTTCCTTAATTAAAGGTTTTAATTCATTATCAAGTCATGAATGGCTTATGGCAAAGTAAATAACTAACCTCAGTAATCTTACCTCTCCAGTTCTCCCTACCTTCCTTCCAATTTGACTTACAACTTACTTGGTCTGACACTGGATCTCAGTGCCTGTCTTCAGTCGTACTGGTGCATGTGGGCAATATTTTTAATTCAAACAAAGAAGTGATAGAATCAATGCTGAATAGAGACATTTGTGATGTCTAGTTAGAAGAAATACTTGTTAGATTTTTTCATCCTTTCCACAGACTGCCTTATAGTTTTATACTATGAACTTCACTATTGTGGCAGACTGTAGCTATACTTGCATTCCTGTAATGAGTTCAGCATATAATTATGTTACTGTCACAGCAGATTAAAATGACCATTAAATATACTCACACATCAGAATAACTGGGAATTCAGGAGTACAAATTCAGTACATCATCTCAGCTTTAAACAACAGACAAAATAAATATATTTTATACTCTCACTGCTTAAGAGTAACTAGTTTGCCCCATATCGCGTGGTGACCCATCATATGTGGCCATGCGTTCTGGCGGCATCTACTAAAAAGGTATTCCATTCATACGTGATAATTTCTGTAAAAATTAAATTAGAAATTAAAAGCTAAATGAAATTCCTCAAGATTAAGAGACTAGCAATGCATTATAGTAAGATGGCATTATTTCTGTTCCAAATTTTAGGTTATTATTATGAAATTCCATCCATTGGAGCCATAAGAATAAACACCCAGGTAAGTATGTTGGCCAAATCCAGATGCAGTTATAACACAAAGAAGTGGAGTAATTCCTGTTCTTAAATCTGTTGCATTTCACCTCTGTTTGAATCAATTCAATTTTAAGATATACTACATTAAGAACAGAGAAAAAAATCAAGACTTTCTTCTATATATGAGGGATTATTCTGTTGAAGTATTCTAATTTTTTTTTTTCTTTTTAGTAATTGCATTGAACGAGTTTAAAATGTGATCCCTGTTTCCTTGGCCAGCTGGCCCACAGCAGCTTGCATGCATACTAGTCACGCTAGCATCCTCTAAAGCAGGCTGACTATGTGCACACAGCATAGTGTTTGAAGTGATCTGTATCCTGCAGACCTCTGCACAAGGACTGTTTTGGGCTCAGTTTTCCTCCTGGCATTATATGGTCCCTCTTTGATCCTGAGACACGGCAGCAATTTTTTATAAGGTTCTATAAAACCTGTAAATTTTTATAATGTGTCTAGACATTCATTGTCTGCCTCTTGCCATACTTACAGCATGATTCTAAGGGTTTGTATCACATGGAGAAGGCTGTGGATGTGCGTGAGGGCATAGCCCTGCTAGGGTACCTGAACTCAACTGGGCAGAAACAGTGACCTGGTACAATCCTGCTTACAGAAGAGGTTCCTGGATCGATCCAAGCAATCTGGGAGAGATACAGCTTTTTTCCTTAAAAAAGGATGCAGGAACATTTTAGCAGACATGCATGTAGATAATTAAGGGTGCAGGACCCTGGCATTAAATGATGTGATCCAAACTGACAGTGTAGATGAACAGATATTCTTTTGAGTTGTCTGAAAGTCCATGTATTCACATGTCCAGAAAAGTAGAGAAATACCATAGCAGTTCTTTGTCCTTCCAAGGCCAGGCATGACATTTTTTGGCAGAAAATAAGAGTCCTTTTTTTTGGCTTGAATAAGAGTCTTTTGATTCTGTTAAACTCTTCCAGATAGTGTCTGGCAAGAAATACCTCTAATGTGATCAGACAAATAGAAAAGTTTGAAGACTGAAACAAGTTTGATGGCATCCACTGCCAAACCAGACCAGAAGTCTGACATCTCATAAGATCCCCAGTTTTAGCTGTACTCCTGAACTGAAGGGAGGCAGGGACTGTAAGGTTTTATAACTGTGAATTTTTTGTTTCAATAGAAGTTATGCAAGTTGTTGCTGTAGGAGCTTAACATACCCAACCGTCACACCAGTCACTCCATCACTCCCTCTGTCTTCTGGGTTGAAGGTTCTGTGATTTGCTTGTGATTTCGTTATGTCATTAGCAATTCACTTTGAAACAAAAATAGTTGTAATTCTCACTTTGTGGAAAGAGGGCAGTGGTTATGGATGTGTAAGGTCCATGTGACTAAGACTGAAGTACAGGAATTGCCAAGGCAGGAAATACTGCAAACTGAAGCCTGAATTGTTGGGTAGTATAATTTTAAAGAAGTAATTAAATGCTAGTCCTATATTAGTGGTTAATTTTTACTACTTTTTTTTTCCTGATTTTTTTTTTTTATTTCATTATTGTTTATTTTTTATGCTGTTTCTGGACTTTGATCTAAAAACTGCCTTCTGATTAGTTTATTACACTTTTTGGCAGGAATATCTGGATGTTTTGGGAAGACCTATGGTTTTAGCTGGAGAGAAAGCCAAACAAGTCCAATGGACAAATGTCTATCTGGATGCTCTGGTATGATCTGTATTTATTTCTAGTAAAGTAAAAATCTTAGCAAATCAGTAACTATAGAGGTCCATTTTCCACAGTCTTGAGGACTCAGTTTCCTACAGTTCCAAACATAATATTCTTGCATTTCCAGCACCTGTATACTTCAATAGAGCAATTTCCTGAACAAGAAGTTCTAACATGCTGGTCATTACTTGCACCTAGTATCCTCCTAAATGTCCTGAACTTTAACAGAGAAAAGCAATTTATCCCACACACAGGTGTTAAAGTGTAGGTCATTGTGTTCTGAAATTAAACAAAAGAAAAAAGAAGCAAATAATTTTCAAGTGTTGTACCTGTACTGCAGTAGAGGTCATCTGTTGTGTTGCTAGGGAGGAGTTCTTACTTTTTTTTTTTTTTTTTTTACTCCAAAAGTATTCCAGGCAGAATGAAACCTGTCAATGTTACTGGGTATTTGTTCAGATTTTGAACTTGGATCTTTAAACTATCATGGTTGTTATAATTGCTTGCTCAAGGTAATGATTTCTTTAATTGGACATTGTATATAATGGGGAAATAAACAAAAAGATACATGAAATGCTTTCCTTACTGCTGAATTTATCACTTTGGTCTTGTAAAACAAACATATTCAGGAAACTACGAAATGCAAAGTATTATTAGCAGCAATCTAATCTGTTGCTCTAGATAACCTTCTTCTGAGTAACTCTAACTAGGCAAAAATTACTGTGAAATGGTCATCTGGAATCATGTATTTATCCAAGTTCACATGGTCATCTAATGTCATGTCAAAATCCACTTCTTTCCATCAGTCAGCATTACTGTAAAATTTTTATCAACACATCATAGAACTGAGCGTGCCACAGAGGAACTAGTTTTTCTTTGGAATTTCAATGGCCAGAAGTTCATTAACCATGTTTTCTTGGTTACTGTTGAGGTACTTACTGGAAACATAAAGGATGTTATGACGAAAGTTCATATGTTCTGTACATATCCTGTTGTAAAGTCAAAGCTAAATTTGTAACTGGGGATAGAAAGGGATCTGTTTAATGAAGTAAAACGAGTGATACCTGCAGACTTCTCTTGTGTTACTTTATATTTTCAGTGGGTTCATTCCGTCTTTCCTTCAAACTTTTGTCCATTCATGTGTTATATATGTGTGTTTGTGTACATATAATTTTTTATATATATATTTGTGTGTGTGCGTACATATGTATTTATAAAAAGTAGAACAACCCAAGCAAAACTGTTGAGGTAAAGGCTGGAATTTGTGAACTTTCTCATCACGGATGACGCCATGAAGGCACAGGTGTATCTAATTCACTCTGGAGCCTTTTCCTGATTCTTGATTTTAGGAGGGACTGGGGCTAACTTGTCACACTGGTTCTTTACGTTAAATTCCCTAAAGGAATTCCCTCCTGTAGGGCTTATGATTGTCCTGCTTGTGCCTCACTGGACTTTTTTCTATCCTTTTTCTCTTACTGTCCAGCAGCAGTTCTGGGGCTAAGGCTAAAATGATGCAAAGTGTCCTACGTGAAGCCACATTTGAATTGAGCTTAAGTTTAGGTTAGGAAATCCTAAAGAGGTACTTTCATTTGAGGCTGTCTTTCAAGACTATCTTTAATAATTTGATGTATCTATGGCAATTCACACCTCTTTTCTTGCCCTGTTCCTTCAGGTTCTGTTGCAGTGTTGCCCTGGCCTCACTTTCTACAAGATAATCCCAGAATTTTCAGATAATTTTAGGTTTACTAGTTAGTCATAATTTATTCACAATTATTGTCCTCTCTAACTGTACATTTTTGGGGGGGAGGAGGGTGTTGTCTCCTGTACGTACCCCTCCTGTTTCATTGTGTATCTCTTCAATACTGCTAAAAAATATCCTCCTCTCTTTTCTTCTGATTGACCTCCATTTCTTGTTTTTCTTATTCTCCTAAAAAGTCCAGTTCTTCTCTTCACCTTGCTTGTAATGTTACTAACTCTGATTTCATTGCCTTTTATTTGATACACAAACTTAAGTTCATGAAGAATGATTTAAAATTCAAAAGGGCGCTACTAGACTGGGCAAATGGAGAATGGATTTCATCAGAGAGGATCAATAAAGTATTTTAGCTTATTTTTTTGTAATGAAGCAAAGGGAGAAAAGTGATATGGTTCCTCAGTAAAATACATGGAAGGAGTAAGCACCAATGAGGGGAAAGAAATGTGAAAAAAAACCCAAACATTAGCATAAAAAAAGATAGAAATCTCCCTGTGGACAATTTGGAATGGAAAACTTTTCTACCTATCTAAACATATGATTTTCTGGATCCTAGTTTAAGTATGAGTTGTGACTGTTAGTAAAGGCAAACCAGTTTTCTTATGTCTTCCCAAATAAGTGCAGATTGCCTGCCTCAGTACCAGAAGAGACTATGTGGTTTTTCAGAACTGGTGATGGAAATTAATGCAAGCCATTGAAAAGTAGCAATGATAATGAAAAGTATTTGTATTACCTGTCAGATTTTTCTGTTGATTTTGCCTGTATGTGTTTGTTGCCTACCTCTTCACTATCTTTAAGTTTTATTTGGCTTTCGCCTTTTTTTCTTTTTCCTTTTTTTTTTTTTTTTTTGCCCATACTATCTGAAGGTTTTAGTATAATGGTTACTGTAGCTTTAAACGAGTTTTCATAACATTTAGAGGTTTTTAAACTATTATATCCTAAGTTGTTGCATACCATCTATTTTTTAAAAGTAATTTAGTATTCCTGCTAACACATGGACACAAAAAAATGTAATTTTAACTTTCTGTGCATAAAATCAATGAAGTAGTATTATTTTTTTTTCTTTTTTCTACAAACTAAAAGTCTGTACTCTAATCTAGTGTTCGGCTACAGTAATCCCTGGGTTGTGCTAATATATTATAGATCAATATTTGTTATTTAACTAAAAAGTCTTTTTCTCCCCTCTGTATGTGGTTATTTTGTAGGAGCTGGGCCTTGTGATTACAGGAACTCTACCTGTCTTCAATCTAACAAAGGAACAAAATGAGAAAA